TTCTGTCCAGATTGATTAGAATGATAAAAATGTTGAATCAAAGTGATGCATTGTTAGTTGTGAGAGGATTTGGAGATAATCTGGTTTGGCACTTTACTTTTTTATATGGAAAAAACTATGAATATAGCAGTTTCCAGTGGCTCACCTTCCACCATATAATTTCTTTGGTCAAGAAAAGATCATGTATGATGTTCACTGAGTTCCTTAATGCTGGAGGCACTGGGATGGGTAAATGGAAAGATGGGTAGATGAAAGTGATTGAAGCCCTTCCCTCACAGAGGTGGAAACCTTAAATAGCAGGCATGTAGATTGAGATAGGAAAGGCAAGCTTTAAATAAGACATCTGCTGAGACTGGACCTTCAAGTAGGAATGAGTATGCTGAGGAAAATGTTACGGTTTCTTAACCACTAGTGGAACATTGAGAATTTAGAGTGGAGCAGGAAAGGAGAGATGGTACATTGATGAGGGACAGATTCAGGAAAACATTTCTACTAAAGATTCACAAATGCATATGTTCTTTTTTCCTTCGCTCTAGGGAAAATGTTGGGTAAATTAAAATTCAAAAATTAAATGTATCATTTATCTTATAAACTTTGAACATACAGTATTCCTGAGAGGAAAAATACTTTGTGGGATCATTAAATATTAATCACTAGATATCAGTTTAGCAAAGAAATTTAGTAAAGTTGGAACAGCTTTTAAGAAGCCAGTTACAATGTGGATTATGAAAGAGAGAGAGGTGGAAGAAACCCAGGGAAAATATTAAGAAATGCAGATCCCTTCATCCAATAGAATTTTTACAGAGAATTCTGGCTACCTAGCTTGTTGAGACTTAAGACTGTGTAAAAATAGATCTTTGTGCTAAAGATATTTGAATTGGTTAGGGAAAAAAAAAGCAAAAGCTGAGATTATCAAAATTGCAATGAATCAAAAAAATTGCAGAAAATCTCTCTTTTCAATACATAAACATTTTCTTTTAATGTTTATTTGAGTCAACAATAAGGAGTTAAACATTTTATGATCAACTTGCAAAATTTACATATATAGAAATTCTATAGATTAAATATAAATATAGAATTGGAGATATAAAAGTACTTTTTTCATATGTCATATGCTTCAAAGGGATTATGAGATGTTTTTCTTTCAATCTTAACTTTTCTGGTTCTTTTTTGAAGGTAATATGGAAGATTCTAATAGTTCTTTCAAGATGTAAAATGTTAGAACTCAGAAATTATCGTTAAATGTCCTCATTTTCCATGCATGAAAAAATATGAGTGGTTGAATGATGAATAAATCAAACATTATACAAGGAAGGAATAAGAGTCCTACATGTACACTCACCTATTATCAGAGCATCAAAATGTATGAAACAAAAACTGGAATGACTGTCAAGACAATAGACAAATCCATTATGATAGTTGGAAATTTCAGCACTCCTCTTTGAGTAAGGATGATAGTGGGCAGAACATCAGTGGAGACAGAAAGGATTTAAACCTTCAGCTCCCTAGACCTACTTGCCATTTATAGAGCAGCCCAACAACAGCTAATTATACATTATTTGTCAAGTATACATTGCCTTTACTCCAAGGTAGACTGTACTCTGATAAAACAAATTTCAGTACATTTAAGATGATATTAACTGTACTCATAAGCTTCATGTTTAGATGAAATGAATATAAACAATCTTAAAATGTGCCATCCACTAATTATACTTTTAGGAAGACACATTAAATAAATAAAACATGAAGAAGTTGTTGTATTAAGATGTGCATAAAAGGATTACTTATTATAGAAACAACTGAAATCAACCTTCAATTTATAAAAATAGATTAATACAATAAACTTATATACAGTAACAATGGTGGTGATGATTGTAGAGAAAATTCTCGTGTAGTAAGAACTGAGGATGTAACTCAATGACAGAACATATGTGTAGTAATTGCCATGTTCTGGGTTCAATCCCCCAGTGCAAGATGGAAGCGGGGAAAGGAGAAAAAAGGAAAGAAAATGGTCAACAAATGAGGATCTCAATATACAAAGATATTTATAAATAAGAAATGGAAAATGTACCTGGAATTAGGTTAATGAGGTCTTTTTAATTTGTTAGATCGTTTAACTTCTTAATGTTTCCTTGTATTTTCCAGATTTGCTAGGAATGTGATGTGCCAGGGCTATATTTTAACAATCATGTACTGGGAAACTGGTTTTATCCCAGAAAATATCAATTGCTCTTTTTTTCTGTAAACAAAAAGGATATAACCTACATTTTGATACCAGTTGATTTTGTTTTAATATGTAAATTCATTTTTTGGAAAGAATGAATAGTGTTTAAATATCTATTCTTCCTCTGGAAGACACATTTTGAGGCTATCTTTATATTATCTGTTTTAGCATGATGGGCAAATCTACATCTCTGTGTTTACTATTGTTCATAGTTCAAGGTCAGGGAGCAAAATATGTGTTTCCTTTCTCTTATTGGCTCTTAATCATCAAAACATCTTTTAGTAGGAAACCATGCACGTTTTTCTTTTCTGTGCTTCAAATCTGAACCATGATTCAATGGGGTTTCTAGCTAGTTGAGGCTTGTCTTACTTTTCTCTTGTTTCTGAGACAAAATAGCTGATACCCAGGGTTGAAGGAGGAAAGGTTTAATTTGACTCACAGTTTATAAAGGTTTAAATTAATAATCTGCTGGCTCCAAGGCAGGGTGGCATATGGCAGAGGGACAGCAGATCATGGTGGCGGGACACAGCTAAAACAAACAAGGGAGAGAGGAGAGAGGATAAGTCTTTTTGTGTCCCTTATATTGTTTGCAGCCTACCTGCCCTAGGGTGGGTGTACTACTTGCACTGTTAATCTCAGCACCCGTAATCCCATCATTGGAGCATAAATTAATCATGAACTCTAGATTGAACCACCGCAGAAAAGCCTGCCCCCCATGACTACATGAGGCTTTGGGATGACACCTAGACCCAAAGCATAACAAGACTCTAACCTCTTTTCCATGTATGAATTTTCCCACCCCATCCAGGTCTTTAATATTTCACATATGAGCCACAATTAATAGCTCTGTCACCTGAATGGTCTTCGCCATGTCAGTTCATTCTTAAATAATTGCTGGAATAAATTCAAAACACAGTGTATATCCTTTCCTTCACAAAAATCCTATGGTAAGTAGCTCCCAGATTATAATGAAATCCCCACAATAGGTTAGAACTAGAACATCACTTGCTTAAAAACCTCAGTGTCTTCATCTTAAATAGATGTAAACTCTCTTTTGGTACATAAAGGTTAAGATCTCAAGCTATGTGAGGATTATATACATGCTTTTTGCTCAGAGTAAGTTGGCCTTGTATATGTATAACCTTTTATTTCTGGCCATTCTTTGCAGTTACATACAATGTATGTGACAAAAATGAAGTTGCTACAGAGAATGAATTCATGAGATTGTCATATTCCATACTGCCGTACTATATGTGGGGGCCATGTTCTGAGAAACCTTTTGGTCCACCCAACCTGCTGTTATTTCGTGTGGAATCTTTGGCAACACTCTTGACCCTCCCTCTCTTCATACCCCATAGTTGTCAACTGTGATCCCCCCTCAGCGCTTGCACTGAAAAGTATAAATCAGAGTTTGTCGTTCTTCTCAAAACACTTGATTGCCTTCAGATTGTCTTTAGAAAAAATCAAATCTGACATCCTAAACATGACCTTTACCCACCTCACATAATCGCAGCTTCCGGGCTCGGTATACCTAAGCCCCGAGGCCTGCCCTCAGTTTCCGGATGCAGCAGACGTTCCTGCCTCAGCACTTACTGAGGCTGCAGCATCATCCTCTGTGTCCCCACTCTACCTCCCGTTTTCCCACCCACCCCCCGTAAGTTATCACCAGCTTGATTCATTGGTTTACACTCCGCATTCAAATATGACCTTCAGTATTATCTTCTGAGGAGGCTTCTTGGGCCTTCCATCTAAATTTGGTTCTTCCTATTATTTACTATTCATACAGCAGTTATGATAGCTTTTAATAATACCATGTTTGGTAGTATATTTGTTTAACACCGTTCTCCCATATAAGCCTGGAAAATTTCTTAACTATCCTGAGGTCTTGTTTATTCTTTGCTTAGCACATAGAAGGTACCCAATAAATTACTGTGGGATGAATGAACAAAAAAATATACTGAATAATTAGAAGACATTCATGAGAAAAGAGTTCCTGACGCTTCAATTTTATTGTTTCTTAATTTACCAGTTTTAATCTATGAATTGGTAATATTAAAATTGTAATCCTCATTTTCAGATGAGATTTAGGGAGAAAGAGGCATTCATATAATATGTAAGGAGAGAGATATTTTATATACCCTATTTTATGCAGTAAATATTTGTTGAATGGGTTAGAGGATTAATAGGATCATTATAGAAGGCTGTCTAGCTAAATGTGTTTAAAAACGTCAGGTTGTTTTTATTGACTCAGTGTTTCCATGTAAGAATGTGTCATAAGGAATCGACCTAAATATGGAAGGGGTTATATATTTAAAGATATTTCGCACATTGTTATTTATAGTAGTAAAATACTGTAAATAACCTAAATGCCAAGAAAAATAATGACTGGGTAAAGCATGGTGTATCTACTGGGTAGTATTATGAGTAACCCTTAAGATGAAGGTTAGGATTTCATAATTATTTCTAAGTTATTTATAATGTAAATGTAAGGAAGAAAGTTTTATGAACATGTTTATAAATTTTATTCAGAGGAGAAAAAGGACTGAAAAGAAATATGTCATGCTGCCATAGCAGTAAGTGATTTCTTTCCTTTTTTTAAACATATTTTCTCTCACATGCACACATTTTATTTTCCAAAGGATTGTAACTGTAGTAAGTTGGACAAATGTGATGTAGCTTGCATCTTAAGGTTCAGGTTCAACTTCAGTACATTTGAATGAATTTTGGTTTTTATGTTTTGAAATTATTGAACTAAGATGCACGTTGTCTCTTTTAGGATGACAAAACCTTCACTGAAGGTTCCCAAACTCGTGGGTTAGATCACTCGTCCTCCTGGCAGGATCACAGTCACTTCCTGTCTAGTCCACGATTTTCACACTTGAACTGTAAGTAATAAAGTCTTGTACCAGTTCTTAAATTGGGTGTAAGGAACTGCAGCTCATGGGAAAAAATTAAGGCTGGTACATGATAATATTTGTGTTATAAGTTTCAGAATATTTTCATTATGAATCGTAAAACTAATCCCCACCTAAGTGTATTTGTAATATTACCTGATTCTTGAAAGCAAAATGCATGAACTCCCTTTTTAGATATTATATTTCTCAGGAAAACTTAAATCACTCAAGGTAAAGATGTTAATTAAGCAAAGTTTTGTTTGGAGATTGCTAATAACTGTGGATGGGTGGGTAACGAAAATTATTTTATTTAACTTTTTAAAATTCAAGTCATCGATAAAAGAAAAAATGTGTTCATGCACCTGTTTAAAAAAACATGTAATCTTGTACAAAGAGTAAGGATACTGGTGCCTGCTGCATTCATTCTGTGAATACTTTGTGAGTGTTGTGAAAATGTCATCAACATTAATGAGGTATAAGCCATGGGCCCGGGATGCCCTTGGCCACCATATGTCCATTCTGTTCCCCTTCTGAACTATGCCTGATCCTCAAGATGCAGTGTGTATGTAATGTCTTTAAAGAAGGCAGGAATGATCCATCTCCCTATTTGCTACTATCTCTCTTTTATTTTGCTCTCTATTTTTACTCTAGGTTTCTCATATAAGAGAAACTATGTGATATTTAAGTTTGTGTGTCTGATATATTTCACTTAACATTATAATCTCAAAATGCATCCATTTTCCTACAAATGACTTAAGTTTATCTTTCTTTATGGCAAAGTAGTACTCCATGGTGTATAAAAACCACATTTTTTTTTATCACTTCACCTGTTGATGGACATGTGGGCCACTGCGAAAATTTAGCTGTTACGAATTGTGGAAGAGAATCAAGGGAAGGAGTGGGGGGATACAGGATGAAAAAGAGTTATTGGGGTGTGGCATGTACATTTACCAACCTCACACAAGAATATGAGCACTATGCACTACACACATGTAGTCATAGACTACAGTAAAGACAGCTGATCTTGCAACTTTAAAGGTGGCTTCTAATCAACCATTATGTGCTACAGTTTTCCGCTAAAGCCTTTCTCAACATAGTCATTTTATAGTTGTTATTTTAGTGACTTTTTGTTTACTGATTCTTTCTTCAGCTGAAGAATAAACTCAAGAAATACAAGAGAAATGCTTTTGCTGTTCACTGCTGTTCATTAACACTCTGCATAGTACCTGGCACATATGAGAGCCTACCTAGTATTCAGTTGTACTAGATGAATGAATATATGTGTTGGCTTGTTTAGTTTACTTTTTCCTCAATTTTTTGGAGTCAAATATTATTTAATGGCTTCTTATTCACATAAAGATAAGTTCTTCACTTTACTGAGGGCCTGAACAGTTGTGCATTAAATTTGATAATTCTCTCATGTAAAATAACTGAATTGCTAAAAAGTAATATATCAAAGTAAGTTACGAGGAAGTTCAAAAGTGGTAACTCAGGGCTGGGGATTTAGCTCAGTGGCAAAAGCGCCTGCCTGGCAAGCGCAAGGTCGTGAGTTCGGTTCCCGGTACCGG